CATTGTACACCTGACAGCCACACCTCATTTGAAGAGTGAAAGTGAATATCGTGTACAGAATTGTTTTTCCTCTCTCGCCTCGATCCCCAAAGGGTGTGTGTTTTGAGAAGTCTGTCTGGTGTCTTGATTCTTGTGACCGACCTCATACCACAAGGCAGAAGCTCACTCAGTTCGATTTCAAAACATCTACATATCAATGTACCAGCTCTGATGTATTTCAAAAGTCAATGAAGGAAACACAGAGGAAATAGGTAGCATTACATTCCAAATATTACTCAAGCAATCTCAAATAAAACTATGCACAAGCGTCAGCATGTCATTTTACTTGTTTTCATGAGACCATCTAGGTTACAGTTAGTAACACCCAAGCAAATCCCCCCCCCCCCCCCAAAAAAAAAAAAATGAATACTCACCAAGCTTCCTGGTCTGCAAAGCGAACTATCACAGCCTCTGTAGGAGATTAGTGGAGTCTGAGATAGCCATGTCACTTTACCCCACTCCTCTTTCTGACGTCTATTAGTGGAACGTGCTTAATGCTCTCTTCAGCTGCGTTGTTTAGAAGGAGAATGATAGGGCTGGATAAATCATGGCTGTATCGCACTGGTAATTGTACTAACCTGCCTTTGTAACTCACAGATGGCAAGTCTTGTTGGCTATCATGTATCGAAGGGCACCAAAGATTGATTGTCTAAAGTGGATTTGAGACACCCTGCCTTCTCTGGAACAACATCGGATACTTTCTAAGGACTGTTTTTATGTATATAAAATATTTAAAACAATCATTAAAATCTTTAACAATGCATATAGTTCTGGTGGCTGTTATTGTGACCTTAGATTTTTTTTGTGTTTGTTTTAAAATATTATTTCCAAAACATAAAATATAAATGGGGGAAATGGGATCTCTAAATTAAATTTTATGTGCGTGCGGTCGCGCATTCACTACCGGCCTGGAGGAATTGGTGTCAGATGTCTACTGTGAATTGTCATGGCTGAGGAATTCAGGCACCACATATCACAGTAGCTGACAGTTATTTTGCACTTGAATACAGGGAGTTTAGGATAATCTTGTTTAGGGTAATCTTGTTTCATGGCTTATCATCATCTAACAAGTTGTACGCAATACTCATGACAGTATCTTAAAAACATAAGTATTGTATTTCACAGGATTATTTGTTATATTGTTTGCCAATTAAAATATAGACAAAAAGGTCCCGCATGACGCCAATTATATCAATTTAGTGGATCATGAACAGGACAGCAGAGGAAGAAAACTATGATTTACAGTATACACTATATTTAAAAGAACCTCAGACTTCATGGGAAAGTGCTGCTCGTCAACCAAATGGGCTTCGGGTTCCAGAGGCTCAAATTTGATTTCAGTTATTATACAGTGTAAGTGAAATACTGAAAGACCAAGAAGATTGATGCCATGTTATTGCTTCTGTACTATTTGTAATGGCCATGAGCATGCAGACACAAATTAAGGAGGCCTAACAGAGGGCGCACAGAGGGGATGGTTGTAAAATTGTGATTTATTGTCAGGAATGTGCCCACGTGGATGAAACTGCTTGTTTTGTCGTCTTGAGTCAACTACACCAAGCCAGATGGCGTGCACTATCCACTGTTGTTTAGATTCTATCTCAACTTGGTTGATATTATGCCCAATATAAAATTGGCATCAAAACAGAAGCGCGGAACATTCAGAAAGATTTTAAAATCTAATTTAAAAAATAAGAATTCGATTGATAATTTCATATCGTTGACAAAGGAAATTTAATTGAATGCTCATTGCTAGTAAGGCGGCACGGTAGTTGACTCATTAGCACATTCGCCTCAGAGTACAGAGTTCCAGGGTTTGATTCCGGCTCCGGCCTTCATGTGTGGAGTTTGCATGTTCTCCCCGTGCCTGCGTGGGTTTCCTCCGGGTACTCCGGTTTCCTCACACGTTCCAAAAACATGCATGGTATGTTCATGGAGCACTCTAAATTGCACCTAGATGTGACTGTGAGTGGTTGTTCATTTATGTGTGCCCTGCGAGTGGCTGGCAATCATACAGCTCCTGAGACTTATTACCTCACGGGATTAAAAAAAAAAACATCCATCCATTCAACTATTTATTAAAAAAACAAAAACAAAAAACATCCATCCATTTAACGATTTTGTTATTGTTACAAAGAAGTCCTCCTTTTTTTATTTCATTGAATAAATCACCTTCAGGTGGTTTCAGTGTCCAGGATGAGTTCTTCATTGATGAAGACCCAATCAGAGCCCCATTTGTGTCTGAAATTGATGCATTCTGGAGTCTAAAAGGTAACAATTGGTTTCAATGAAAGGACAATGTCGCTTTTGTCTATACTATTAGGAACATATACTACACTGACAGGATTAATACATTTATTTAAATATAATTACATTACTGAGACCATTTTCTTTTACTAAAAGTGGACTAAAATGCCATCACATTGTGTTTATTAAAATTAGGCTGAACCGCACAGGTGTCAGAACCAGGTTCAGAAAGTAAAAACCTTTAGCCACAGATGCTTCTTCTCAACCGACTGGTGAGTGAGCTTGTTTACCTGCAGGTTGAGTCGAAGCACCTGTGGCGAACACCAAACTGTGGGAGCGTTTTTATTTTCTGGACAATTCTGACTGAAATAAGAATAAGACTAAAATTGTCAGAGTTTTGGTCAACTCAGACTTGACTAAAAAGAGTACGAACATGACTAAAGCTCATAAAACAAAATAAAATGACATCTTGACACAAAGACAACAGGCCGCCAATAACACCACCATTGGAAATCCGCTTCAGAACTGGTACGAAAGTCGGCTCATATTTCCCCTGGAAATATTAAAGAACCAACAAAATAAAAGAAGAATTATAGATCAATTTACACCAAAGAATTATTTTATTAATACTGTATTGTTTTTTACTCTCTCCTGACTTTCTTTTCATCACGAGTAATTCTTTTTTCCATGGTGTCTCGTGAGGGTTTGAACCATTTCTGCAATTTTCCGTAGGATATGCGTCTACAATTACCGTATTTTCCCGACTACAAATGGCATTTTTTCATAGTTTGTAATTTATACAGTGCTCTGGAGCGATTTATGTGTGAAATTATTAACACATTATTATTGTATCATTTCACATGTTGTTTTCACATTAAACCGCAAGAGGGTGCTCTAGGCCTGTGTTAATGATTTCAGCATTGGCGGTACTGTAACTTCAAATAATACTGCCGGTACTGAATAAAAACAACCAAGAAGGGCTGAACAAAAATGCCAACGAAAAGAAAATCATATTCTGCAGATTACAAAATGCCAGTCGTCGAAGATGCAGCCGAAAACGGTAACTGAAGAGCAGAAAGAAAGTTTCGTCTCAATCACAAATCTGACGAAAATAGGAGAAAACAATGTCTTCCCGTCATTTCGAGTGATACAGCGTGCCCCCACACAAATTATATGGCACAGCAGTGAATTAAAAAACTTCAACTTGTAAATTTTAAAAAGCTCTAAAAATGCTTTTATCTCCCATCAAGAGGAAACGGGGAGAGTCAAAGGTTGCACAGTACTGTACTTAAAAAAGGCAGTGCCACATTAATTATTGAAGTAGAGGAACACAAAAATTTTTGTTCCACCCTTTGATAATAATACAGTACAATATTTTTTTACTGGCCGTGTTACATTACAAATAAATACATCTTTATTTCGTGCTTTCACTGAAACAAAGCGCTTTACAGAATAGCTAACATAAAATAACAAAATACGGTAATACAACACAACATGTAACATAAGACATGGACAGTCATGCGATCGTAACCGCTATTCCTGCATACGTCATGTTGTTTGAAGCGGTTATAGATGAAAGAGGAGAAGATCAAAGTGCCCTTTAATTTTTAAGTGGATCAGTGACGTCATGTTCAAAGCATGCATGACGTCTAACACGCCTGCTACAAGTTAAGTTTGAAAGTAACTAAGAAGCTGTTGCGTCCACTGACGAAAAAAGAGATTGGTTACAATATAATAAAAACATTATACAACATTAGGCAATCCATTGAACATCGTTCACATACATATACATACATACATACATAATAGTATAACAAAAATAAATTGTTAAAATGTTTTCAATTGCAATAGTAAAAATGAAGAAAATAAAAATTAAAAATACATCTCTCCAAAACAGGGATATCCCTGAGTTACTCTTTAAACATGTCCGAGTGTATAGCAATTATTGATCAACATTTTTTTATTTGTTATTAGATCTAGAATCTTAAAATAATTATCTTCCTCAAACAAAAATATTTTTTATAACGGGGTGGAATTCAAAACTTTACCACAAACTGCTTTCACGGCCACACTTCCCGGTCGCAAGGCGTCACTTCCGGCCCAAGCATACGCTAAGCGCGCGCGTGTGCGTGCGTGCGTGCGTGTGTTCGCGTGTGCGTGTGCGCGCGTGTGTGCGTGCGTGCGTGTGTGTGTGTGCGCCCTCCGATTGACTGGTGACCAAGTAAAAAGTCATCAGACTTAGAAATACTCAAGCACAGATTGCTCGAAATGTACTCAAGTACAGTGACGAGGTATTTTGTAAGTCATAGCTTTCCACCACTGTCAATAATTAGTAAGATGTTTTTTCTTTTCATAAAAATGCCGTTTACTTTCTGCGGTAGAGACTTCAAGACCCGACTCTGCACTTTCTTTTGGATACGACAGATGGTGCAATTGCTTTGCTTTATTTTTTTTTCCATGTTGAAATGCGCTTCTGCTGTTAAAATATTTTTAAAGTGTTTCTCTTTAAACCCTGTCTGTGGCAAATGGATCACACACCACGACACGAAGATACAGAAGGGGAACTGTGCCACAAAGGCTCGTTTTATTTTGACAGATGTGTGACGTTTGATTTTTTTTTTTATCCTTTGTCGGCCACCGTGCACACGTGACGTCAGCAGCTGGCGGGGGCGGGGGGCTGAGGTTTTTTTTTCCACTGCTGCCGCTTCTCACTTCATTTCGACTCGAGTCGTTACTTTCTCAGCCACGCGTCAGCAGGAGGTCGAGTGAAAGACGGCTGCCCTCTTGAAACGCTGGAATTATATTTGTCATTTTTCACAGAAGACTTTGGTATTTATCCCTGAATAGTCCTGCAGCAACGATATATCGTGTGCAAGTACAAGTCGGTGAGTAGCGTTTCTTTTATCCACGAAACCTGGAAGTTATTTTTACTTGAAATATCCATTTGATCACCGGTGTTACATTGGTATACTTAATATTGGAAAGCTGGTTTGAATCGACATTTCTTCCAACAGTTGTCTTTCAACTTTTAACTTCAAATGTAGCTTTTCCCTCCCCAGCGGCTTGATTTGCACGTTACAACCACAAACGCACATTTTTATGAAAGTGAAGTACTTGCCACTGCAACGTTTTCTTTTTTTTTTTTTTTTGTTAGTAATAGCCGGTACTGTATATTAAGACGCAGTTGGGCGATTAGGCGTTTATTTGTTTTGCAACCCCCATTATGAGGGCACTGTCATTTAATCGCCGTTTGTTTAAGGACAAGGCAAAAACTAGGCTCAGAGCTTGGCCGTTGGGACGTTTCTGAGATTTCTCATTGGAGTAAGTCGCTTTTCAAAGGCAGAACAAATTGACGGTGTTTTTCTTTTTGGCAGTTTGCAACTAAATCATGAACGCATCAATCACTGTTGACGGTCACCACGCTATGTTTGGGGGTCATTGGAAAATACACGCCTCCAAACAGTGTTTTGTTTGCTTTAAAAGGATAGAGCAAGCTTCGATGTGTTTTATTTGGTAAAAGGATGGATACCACAGAAAGTACTCGGATCAAAAGCGGTTTTCTGACGTGAGTACATGAAAGTAACAAGCAGCCTTTGAAGATCTCCACGCCCCCATGGATCGATAACCGCCGAAACGTGATGACAATTTATGGTATATGCAGGGGGAGGGGGGATCATTTTCGGCGATGACGTCCTCACTCTTCCGAGCACTTTGCATATTTTAACATATTTCGGCACAAATACCCATTTTGATTTTGTACCGTGGTACATATGTAGATAGATTTGACAAATCTGTAATTGGTCATCACTGTTATTTACAAGCTTATTCATGTTTTCCTTCCCCACTCTTTTCTCTTCCAGGCCTTCGGGTGACTGAAGTTACTGCAGTCTGCTGTCCCCAGGCCACACAGCCTTTTCTATCCCTTCACTCTTACCCTCCCAAGGAAAGTCAGACAGGAGTGGAAATACCAGGGTGGATTTTTCCAGTGGTCTGGACACAAACATGGGCAACCAGTTTACAGACATTGCTCCCAACACCACTTTCCTCCCCAACCTCCAGTCCTTGCACATTGTTGTGATTGGTTTGGACAATGCAGGGAAAACCTCGCTCCTCTACAGACTCAAACTGCGAGAATTTGTCGAGGCCATCCCTACCAAAGGCTTCAACATGGAACGCATTAAAGTGCCCATGGGGAATTCCAAAGTCAACACATCAACTTTCCAGGTGTGGGATGTTGGCGGTCAGGAGAAATTGAGACCACTCTGGAAATCGTACACTCGAAGGACTGACGGCCTCGTGTTTGTGGTGGATGCAGCCGAGGCCGAGCGAATGGAGGAAGCGAAGATGGAGCTTCACAGGATCAGTCGGTCTGCTGAGAATCTAGGGGTGCCTGTCCTGGTTCTGGCGAACAAACAGGACCTAGAATCAGCCATGTCAGCTTCAGAGGTAATCCATTTTTATCCTGTATGTTTCTTCATTAAATTGTGTTACGATTGCTATGATTGACATGCCCATAAACATAAAGCAATGCTGTTGCTGCGTGTTTACGCCGCACATTTGGATATGCAAGCAAAAACGGTTTCGTTAATCATGATGGGAATGACCTGCATGTAGTTAAGCGGTTCCATTTTAGAGGACAACATTTACTGTTTTTTTAATTTCAGCCTAAATTGTAGTGGACCGTGTGTGGTTTATAGCTTCAACAATTATCACTAAGTAGAAGTTTTGAACTACTTAATGAGAGATTTCAAATAAGTGATTTTTTTTAAGGTAGTCTAGTCAATACAAAAAAAAACTTGGTGGCTCATATTGCCAAATACTGTTATTGCAAATGTTTTCGCCATTGTTCAGGCAAATGTAACTGACTGGTTTTGACAACGGCGGTCTCTTCATGAAACTTCAAAAGACGAAATTAGAGCCCCGTTTTCAGGTTTTTGCCATGTAAACGTTCAAATTTAAACCTTAAAGCACGAGTTCGCAGAGGCCATTTCTTTTCCTCTTTTTTTCCTGAAAGGAGGTTTTATTTTCCCTCACTTGAAAACTGTTCCTCGTTGTCCTATTAAAATGTTTCAGGCACACTTAGGACAAACTATGTCAGGAATCCAGAATGACAACATTGTCCTCTTAACAGCCCTTTTGAAACAACCGGTTTTCGGGTGTGGTTTTATCTCCTGCAACTGATCCCCCCCCCCCCCAGCCCCCCCATATGCAGCACGTTGAGTAAGCCCTGGCTGCAGAGCACAATTCGCGGTGTGGTTCCATGTGGGGTGGGCTGAAACATTTGACCACATGGATTCTCGACCTCAAAGCACCTTTCCCCCCCCCCCCCCCCCTCTTTCCCTCCTTCATATTTCCATGCCGGCTTTGATGATTCCCCCCCCCCGACTGCAGTCGCTGGGGGACATCTGGCGCTACACCCCTCCCACTGATTTCAATGTGGAGGACGTCTTTCGACCATCACTTTGGTGGAGCCCACTGGTCTAGACCGGGGGGTCACCGACCTTTTTGAAACTTGAGAGCTCCTTCTGGGCTACTGATTCATGCGCATGGGTACCAGTTTGATTGTATGCACTTTTGAAATTGCTCAAACTACCTCGATTTCTAGATGATTGTGAGGAAAGTTAGAGAAATGTGCCTTTACACCCTTCCCCGCACACCAGTGTCAGTTTCAACATGGCGCAGTTGAATGTGTTTGGTGTACGTAGAGAGAGAGAAACTAAAGAGCTGAATTGTCCCAGGTCTCTTTAGCGCTGAATTCATTCCTTGGTTTAAAAACAAAGAATAAAAGCAGCAAAATTATATTTAGTGTTTGCGCTCATAATATTTATCTCATTTAGTCTTACAGACTTTCAGTCTTTCGGAGTTTACAATGAGCTGAAAAATTCACTTATGTGGTTTGGTGTGGATAATTTTTTTTTTTTTTAAACAAATGTGTGGATGATTTTATTTTATTTTTTTAGGGGTGGGGTATTCATAAAAAAAAATTAAAAAAAACAGGCTGCATGTAGACAAGGCCTGAAACTAAGAAAAAAAAGCAAGTACGAAGCAAGCCCCAAAACACATTAAAAGAAGAGATTTATATTTTCTCTGTAGGAGTGGCATTTCATCACCAGGCTGCCAAATTACACATGCAGCCGACAGACACATCACCAAGCACAAATTTGATCAGAGACAACTTTTTGCTCACTGGAACCTCACAAAATGTTGTTTTGTTAATGCAGTTCAGTTCATATCTCATATCTGCTTTGTAAGTAAATTGAAGTGTTTGAAAAAAAAAGTATTGTGAGGAACCTATGGAAGAAAACACACTGCTTTCTGCTTGATGAGCGTTATCGTCTCAGCGTAAAATAGGATTGGTCGTTGTGATGACAAGTGACTTACCTGCAAACATGTGGCTAATGTTGCGGTTTCTTCTCTCAGGTGGAGAAAGCCCTGTCGCTCCATGAACTGAGCTCCGCGACACTACACCACACACAAGGCTGCTCAGCGCTGGATGGTCAGGGCCTGCAGATGGGCCTGGAGAAACTCTATGAGATGATCCTGAAGCGGAAGAAGGCACTTCGACAGAGCAAGAAGAAGAGATGAGAAAGCTTTTTGCTCTTGATGGCATTCACGTGTTGATGGGAATGACAGCGGAAATAATGCCACAAATTTGGAGGAATGCAGCCCCATTTGTTGAACAGGGACGGCGTCAAGGAGGACTTGCTGCCCAATACCCGCAGAGGATAGTACCGTTCTATGGGGACAGACGAATTTGAATCTGTGCAATATATGATGAACACTCACTGACGGTCTCACACCAGTATTGAAGGATTTGTTACACTTTTTTTTTTTTTTTTTTTACCCCAGT